TGGTATTGCTGAGAGGATGAACAGAACCCTGAATGAACGAGCCAGAAGTATGAGAATACATTCCGGATTGCCGAAGTATTTTTGGACTGAGGCTGTTAACACGGCAGCTTACCTCATAAACAGGGGACCCTCTGTACCGCTGAGTTTTAAAATTCCCGAGGAGGTATGGACAGGAAAGGAGGTAACTCTCTCACATCTGAAATTTTTTGGTTGTGTTGCTTATGTGCATGTAAACTCTAATGATAGAGATAAGCTTGATCCTAAAGCAAAGAAATGTTTCTTTATTGGCTATGGTGATGATAATTTTGGTTATCGGTTTTGGGATGATCAGAATAGAAAGATCCTAAGACACAGGAATGTCACATTTAATGAAAATGTGATGTACAAGGACAAACTTGAAGTAGAACCAACCAACACCAGCAAACAGACAATGTCTGAAACAGTTGAGTTAGAAGAAATCTCAGAAAATGAAGTAGCTAGAGGGATTACAACTGATTCTGAAATTGAAGATGAAGAACCAGAAGCCGAATTTGAAGAAGAACTAGAAGCCGAACCTGAAGCGGAACCAGAGATAGAATCAAATCCAGAACCAAATATGGAATCAGGACCTGAATCAAATTCGGATTCTGTTACTCATGAACCTACATTGAGGAGATCTAAAAGAGTCACGAATGCTCCAGATAGGTTAACTCTCTCTCTTCACTATTTACTTCTTACTGATGCTGGAGAACCAGAGCATTTTGTTGAAGCAATGTCTGTGATAGACTCTGATAAGTGGAAGCTAGCCATGAAAGAAGAGATGAATTCTCTTCAAAAGAATAAAACATGGATACTTACGGAGTTACCAAAAGGAAAGAAGGCATTGCAGAACAAATGGGTGTTCAGAGTCAAGGAAGAGCATGATGGTAAGAAGAGATACAAAGCACGATTAGTAGTAAAAGGCTTTCAGCAGAAGGAAGGAATTGACTACACCGAGATCTTCTCTCCTGTAGTCAAATTAACTACTATCAGGTTGGTGCTAAGTATCGTAGCTGCAGAAAATTTGCATTTGGAGCAGCTAGATGTTAAAACTGCTTTCTTGCATGGTGACCTTGAAGAAGACATCTACATGAAGCAACCTGAAGGTTTTCAAGTTTCTGGTAAAGAAAACCTTGTGTGTAAGTTGAAGAAGAGTTTGTATGGTTTGAAACAAGCTCCCCGACAATGGTACAAGAAATTTGATGGATTCATGCATAAAAATGGTTTCACACGATGTGAGATGGACCATTGCTGTTATATCAAAAATCTTGATGAATCCTATATCATTTTATTGTTGTACGTTGATGATATGCTAATTGCAGGATCTAGCATAAATGAGATCAACTTGGTTAAGCAACAACTGGCGGAGGAGTTTGAAATGAAAGACTTAGGACCAGCTAAGCAAATGCTTGGGATGAGGATTAGCAGAAACAGGTCGGAAGGAACCTTAAAGTTGTCTCAAGAAAAGTACATACAGAAGGTACTAAGCAGGTTCAGTCTTCATGATGCAAAGACCAGAAGCACTCCACTTGGAAGCCATCTAAATCTGTCAAAGGACCAATCACCTAAGACAGATGAAGAAAGGAAGTACATGTCCAAAGTTCCGTATGCTTCAGCAGTAGGAAGTTTGATGTATGCTATGGTTTGCACTAGACCTGACATAGCCCATGCAGTTGGAGTTGTCAGTAGATACATGTCAGATCCAGGAAAGGAGCATTGGGAAGGTGTAAAATGGATATTGCGATATCTCAAAGGCACTTCATGTATGGCACTTTGTTTTAAAAAGAGCAATATTATCTTACAAGGTTTTGCCGATGCAAATTTAGGTGGCGATCTGGATAGTCGAAAAAGTACCACGGGCTACGTGTTCACCTTGGGTGGTACTGCTGTTGGATGTCCAGACTTCAGAAAAGTGTTGCTCTATCTACCACTGAAACAGAGTACATGGCAATCTCAGAAGCTAGAAAAGAGATGATTTGGCTCAAGAATTTTCTTAAAGAGCTAGGTAAGGAGCAGGACAATTGTGAGCTTTTCAACGATAGCCAGAGGGCAATTCATCTTGCCAAGAATCCAGTGTTTCATGCAAGATCGAAGCATATCCAGTTGAGGTATCATCATATCCGAGAGTTGATAAATGAAGNAATCTCAGAAGCTGGAAAAGAGATGATTTGGCTCAAGAATTTTCTTAAAGAGCTAGGTAAAGAGCAGGACAATTGTGAGCTTTTCAGCGATAGCCAGAGTGCAATTCATCTTGCCAAGAATCCAGTGTTTCATGCAAGATCGAAGCATATCCAGTTGAGGTATCATCATATCCGAGAGTTGATAAATGAAGGAACTCTTTCCCTGTAGAAGATACCAGGATCAAAGAACCCGTCAGACATGTTGATCAAAGTTGTCGGTGTTGACAAACTGAGGCTGTGCACTGCCTCAGTTAGCCTTCAAGACTGATAGAGTGAAGGCGCCACCAGAGAATAGCAAATCTTTCTTTATTTTCTTTCTTGATGTAACATAGGTTTGAGGGGGAGATTGATAGGACCAAACCTATTGTTGTATGTGAAAGTAGACAAAACAAAAGAAAGAAAAATCAAAAAGAGATAAAAATATGATGTAAGCGCTTACATCGACATTCTTGTGATAAGCGCTTACCTCAGCATTCTTATGATGTAAGCGCTTACATCGACATTCTTATGATGTAAGCGCTTACCTCGGCAGGGCATTCAAATGCTTATAAATAGGGGTCTACATTTTCATTTGTAGAACATCCCAAAACTTCTTCTTTCTCTCTTCAATTAATAAAGAGTTATTCTTTGTGTGGCCGTGGAGTAGGCAAAAATTGCCGAACCACGTAAATCTTGTCTTGTCTTGTCTTGTGCAATTTATTGTTTCTCTCCTAAATATCCTTTTCCTTCTATTATCTTAATACGCTTCCTCAACATATTCCACTCACTATTTTACAATCGTGATTTTTCATTTTTCATGCCTATATAAAAGCCTTGTAATTGATAGGAAATGAAACACAATTGAAGAAGAAATAAGAATCTCTTCTCTCTTCCTCTCTATATCTCTTAGCCTGTTTTTCCTTGTTTTATATTGTTACTTTGAGCTATATTTCATAACATAAATTACATTCTTAGCCTTTAATAACTATAAATAGCCCCCCTCTTCTTCATTTTTTCTCACAACTTGCTCTTTCTTCTAAACTCTAATTGTCTCTCGATTCCCTTTTGGTTATTGAATTGCTTATTACTTTCAAGTTCTCAATTATTTAATATTTCAATTTTTATCAACTATTTACGGCAGTCACTACAAAATTACAATTATCAAGTGAAGTGTGGTTACCATTTTTGTTAGGTTCAAGTTGAATCATGCCCCGTTCTTCTAAAGTGCGTTCACATGTTTGGGAACAATTTGAGGTGGTAAAAGAAAATGAAGAAGTTCGCACAAGAACGGTGGTCGAGTCTTTAATGTTCATCGAAAGTGGGAGGGCACAACTGGTTTAAGGAGGCATATTAAGGGTTGTCTTGAGCATCCTCCAGGAATTCGTATTTAAGTTGATTTGAGACAATTTGTGTTATTTTGAATTTGTTAGACTTATTTAAGCTTAATGTATTAGTTTATAAGACAAGTTAATTTGAAGTATTATTATGCAATGAAAATATGAAATGACAACTTTTGAAGTTTGATCCTTACATGTTGGTCTTATTAAATAATTTTATGTAACCACTTAATTTCAATTTTAAAATTCAATTTCAAATTTAAAACTTTAAAGTTTAAAAGTTTAATTTTATGCCTTAAAATACTTATTTTATTATTTAAAAATTTGCATAACACTTAAGTAACAATTACATTGAACAAGGAAACATAATACACTTAAAAAAATAAAATTAATCCGCCCCGGTCCGGACCTGATAAGCCCGAACCTGGACGGGCTCACCAAACCCCGGAATATCCCAGCCCACTACCAGCCCGCCCCACTAACTGGACAGGCTGTTTTTTCCCATATCCAGCCCGGTCCAGCCCGTCCGGTAAACACCCTTAGTAATACCCTGGTTCCTTCTTTAGTAGATCCTGAGTTGTAGAGATCTCGCTCTTTTGCTTTATATTATTGTCTTATCTAGGGTAGAAGTGGAGGAGCAAATCGAAGAAGTCTGGGCAATATATGATAGAGAAAGTAAAAAAATATATGATAAAGAAAGTTTAATAGGAGCAGTTCATGTTGCAAGTAAAGTGCTGCGCATGAGATGAACAAATTTGGAGGGTGGTTGTATGCTAATATCTGTTCAAAAGACCCATTTGAGAATTATTTTTTGTCATACTTAGCAATTCCCATGTTAAGATTCCAACTTTGAATGTGTTTGGCTATCATTGGTTGGTTAACTTCCTCATGATTTGCTAGACCTCTTTGCTAATACAGCACTGACTAAATATTTTGAGTATTTTCTTTGTATCTCTTAACATTAGTTAGTCTCTATCCTCGAGTAGAAAAACTTGTACTTTCTGAATGTAATGTGAATTTAGCTTTCATGTTTATGCAGCGGGGTTGTATCAATTTCATCGTGTTTGTTTGATCTGGATTGCAGGAAGTGTTGAGCCAGGTCTTGCACGAGGCTGGTTATACAAGGGACTCATGGTTGCTTCTGAATGACTTCATTAAGGTACATTTATGTTTTAAGGGCGTGGAATACAGAACCATAAGTGATTTTTATTTACTATTGGAGGGTGAGCGATATGTTAATGAGAAAGATTGGAAGTATGTTATAATTAAGAAGACACGGTTCATGTTCCTTGGAATCATTCTGATGTGTGAAATTTTCTAAGATTTACATTGAGAAATGCCGTAATGGTACATGGTAAGGCCATATCTCAGCGAATATGCTTCTGGATGCTGTTACTTCTTATTAAAGTCAAAATACACATGTTTTGAAGCCGCTATCATTTGATTTCAATTTATTAATTGGTTTATTGTATTGTTAAATTCATCTTTTTCTTTTCAGTACTCAATAATCTGTCTCCTTATAGCTTTGTACTTGTGTTTTGCTGATGTTTTCAGATCCTGGACCACCCTGGTTTGAAGATGGAGGTAGAAGTACCAATTGACTAGTTACACCTGCAATTTCATTTACTATAATTCAGATGTATCTGTGTACAAGGCAGCCGTGTTATTCTGTTTTGTTGAATTCGCGCACCTGCATTCTCCTGCTGTTTTTTGTTAAATCTCTTTCTTTTTCCTTCTTTTGCCCCCGTTTTATGTCTGTTTGCGCGGCAGGGACAGAAACAGAGAAACCGCCGTGTAATTAAGATAAAAGCTTTCAGCTTATTCAGAAGATCTTGAATATGCTATAATTTTAATCTCTCACAAACTGTGTATCTTTCCAATTTGAGTTGAGCAGAGTTTTGCATGCTTCAACCAAGTGTGTGCGCATATTGGGCTAGTTCAGTGAGTTGCATATTGTATTTGAACACGCTCAGTCTCGGCTAACTGGCTGGCGAGGCTGTCACAAGATGTTACGCCCCGTTGACCGCCTCGTAGTCAGTGGGCAGACAATGCTTTGCACAACATTTATAACCACTCTTCCACCATTTTCAATTTTGTTCCAAGCAAGCATCTAATACCTCAACATCTCAAACACACACATAAAATTCCTACCAAAGTCCAAATAGTACTTTATACATCATAGTTGTCGAAAGCATGTACAACAACTCAATATAATCTCACAAGTGGGGTCTGGGGAGGGTAGGATGTACGTAGCCTTACCACTACCCTGGAAGGGTAGAGAGATTGTTTCCGAAGTTGTTGAAAGCATGTAAAAGAGAAAAGTGGAAAATGACAAGGCCTCACATCTTCATCACTTAAAAACAAATGCAAAATAAGTCACACACGAGGTTTGAAAGAGATGTGGATAGTTGGTGAGTATGTCGCTCCCCTGTTCTGGCATACGTTTAGAATTCGGATCCATCGTTGTTCTGGCATACGTTTAGAATTCGGATCCATCGTTGTGTTAATAGGTCTACAGTCTGTCACTATCTCCTCAAGAATTTCTAAGGCATATTTCTGTTCTCAGCTTAGAGCTCAACATTTTTTTTTTTTGGCATTCCGCTAGGCAAGTGCCTAGGGCTAGTTTTTTATTAATAAAAAAGAAAAGAAAATACAATAATTAGGAAAAGTACAAATAAGGGGGACAATAGCACCGGTATTATTGCTCATATGCCTTGGCTATATAATCACTCCTCTGCGCCTCCCACTGCCTTATGATGACAATCTCATGTAGAGGATTCATGGTGTAGCTGTCGGCAACGTCTAGCCGTGTGGATATTTTTTCCAAAGGCATAGGTCTAAGGCAACACAAATCGGGCTAAACCTTACCTTACTAATCCTATTGAGGCATTGAAAAGGCCTCACCTACTAGCAAGCATGTAAAAAGAAAGAACTGGAAAGGACCAAATATTCAATGATCATCACAGAGTTTATAACATACTCTGTGATGATATTACAAATGAGAATACTAACATAATGGTAGAATAAAATGATGAAGGAATTAAAATGTTGTCCCTTCTTGTCCGAACTTGTAATTTCTTCAATTTGTAACTCTTTTTCATCACAATCACAATTCTTCAAGATGTATTCAAAATTCATGATTTCTTTTTTGAAAGATTGGACTTTGTAGATGTAGTTGGGGCGGCCTTCTTTTGTTTGGCAACTCTCATTGGAAGTCGCATAACATTTAAAAAATCACTAACAGTTTGGTTCAACATGACTACATTGCTAAGTAAATTATAACAGTTTGGTTCAAGCTTTATTTGAAGCCATGCCAACGGTTTCAGTAACTGTCAATAGTTAGAACTACATTAGCCGAAACGGTCCAATGAAAGGATTGGTGATTAATTTGAACCAGTTGAAGGTTAGTAGACAATATAAAATATTTGGTTTCAAATCATTCTGAAAGGTGCCAAAAATAGAATGAGTTATTACTAGAACTACTGCCGTCCTAGGAAAGCACTGGCATTAATACCTTCTGCTTATATGCATCCAAAATTTGCCTCTTTCTTTGAATAGAAGAAATCAGGCCCTACTAATTTCAGCTTCAGGACAAATACTTCTCGTTTACCGGTTTCCACCCTGCTATTTATCAGTTAAGACTCAGACCTCAACGTTTTCTTATATAATGCTATACACCAGAAACTTTTGTCAAGAATTTGTTAATATTATGAATAAATTCAGACCGGAAGAATATATGTATCAGTATGCTTTTAGGAGCAGCTAGCATGTCAGGCAACAAGGGAAAATCCCTCGCGTTGGCTGAAAGTTCTTCAACGAATTCGTCTGCAGAAGAAGGTTATAGGAATAAGGAGATTGTGCAGGCCGAACAAGTTAAACTACTTGATAAGAGATTGAGAATTCTTGAAGATGAAACAGAATTACTCAAGGTAGCTTTCTATGAGGGTGTGGAAGAAAGAAGAAAGTTAGTACATGCAATTCAAAATGAATTTCAGGCTGTAAACCATTTTCGATGCCTTGAGGAACATACATTCGGATACACAAAGGTATTAAACGATTCTGAAGTGATGGATGTAAGAAAGGAAAATATGATAATCTTATTGCTGCAATTAAAGTTGATTGCTTCTATTGAACTACACATCATTGGCTTATGGTATTTTCTTCTTGAATATACAGCGTCAACGACATGGACTCCCGCAAATTCTAGGTGAAGACTCAAATCCAGCAGTTGTCTTCAGAGAACTGAGAGCTTCTGAGGCTGTTTTCCAGGATGCTACTGTATGTGTATGGGACTTCTCAGACAGATGATTCTACCTCTCTTTGAAGATTTGGCGATCATAATTTAACGTAGATTTTTACTTTGTTATGGTCAGCAATTTCCCCCTACGTTTAGCACTGATTCTTTTTCAGGTACCAAACGCGTGGAAATATTTTCTTTGCTTCTTTGGTGGCAGTGAGATTTGAACCCAAGATTTCTTTTCTGCTATGAAATCATGTTGAATCATGTGACCATCTAGCACGCTTTTATTTACTTAATTATATTATGTCTCAGCAATTTCTTCAATCATCTGAAATTATATGTACTTTGACTAGAAGCATTCTGTTAGAAGAGAAACTGTCACTAGTCACTTTCCCAGCTCCCTTTTTCTTTTACGCGTTTAAGGACTATGCTCTTGTACGTTACAGAGAATATAGCCATAAGTTTTGACGAAGAAGCTATTGTTGTTGCTACTTTCTACATTGTCAGTGTAAGGATTCTCACTTCAAGTAGTCATCAACCGTTACTCATTTCCTTCAACTTTCCAAGCAAATAACAAATGAAGAGAAAGACTGGTATAGAAAAAACTTTAAGATTATCAGTACTTTAACCATAAAAACTGCCAACAACATTATTGAAGATCAGAAAATACTTATTGCTGCCACAAACATGAAGAACAAACTTAAGATCCATAGAGAAAAATCATCCCATAAAATAGCAACCCCTAAGCATAGGCTTCAGGATTTTGAAGGAGATAAGCTTCTATAACTTTGAACATAGCCGAGACCTTCTCCTTTCCTGCCTTGATTTCCTCTTCATTGAGCTTGAAATCTCCCACAGTATAGTATGTGCTAGTCACATTAGATATGGAACCACCATCTTCTGACTGCTCAAACTTCACATCATAACTTATTTTCTCAAGGTTGTCCACCAATCCATCACCTCCAACCAATGTGTATTTATACGTGTATGTCTCCTCGTTAAGCTCATCAACATGATACTTTATGGACTTAAACTTGCCACCTATACGCACAAAAAAAAAATAAGAGCAGAGTTGTCATTTTCTTCAGGGATGTTATTCAACGCAAGCACAAAAATAAAAGAATAATTTGATGATTGTACCTTCAGGAAAATTGATGGTCTTAATACTTCCAGCACCTCCATCGCCTTGAACTTCAATGCTGCTAATAGCTTGTGGCATCAACTTAGGGATCAAGTTATGAGAATCTACAATGGAGGCCTTGAATATTCTTTTGGGGGGGAGTGGGGAAGTGTGTTCCTCAGTGAAGGTGGTGACTGCCATATTTTGGTTCTTACAAGAAAAATAAATGTGTAGGATTTCGTGTAGGGGGAGCTTCTTGTTTTATGCCAAAAGAATGGGATATATCAGGGTTTATATAGGTGCAAGTCCTGGAATTATATAATCTTGTAGTCATTTTCATGGCAGGCCAAATATATGCTTTTGTTTGTCTACATTGGTTTCCAGAGTTTGTATAATTGTTATAGCTGAAGGATCTGTTTGTCCTCTGTTTATATGCCCTAGGTTGGATTTACTCGTTCAAAATGACGTTAGATCTTTATTTGATTTCTAAATTTTGTATACATGAACAATGGTCCATCCAATTTTTAAGGATTCTTGTATTTGGCTTCTTTTTTTTTCTCTTTTCATAGGGTACGCCTAATCCCACTGCACTTTTATCAAGTGAAAACAGAAAAGAGTTTGTATTTTATTGTAGTACCGAGTCCCTTGATAGATCAGCAGCCCGGTGCATTAAGCTCCCGTTATGCGCGGGATCCGGGGAAGAGCCGGACAACAAAGATCTATCGTACGCACCCTTACGTATGTGAATATGAGGGTAAAGGTATCAATTGAGAGGATAAAGGAATCAATTCGTAATTGTTTCTTTCTGGTAGAATAATCATCAATTTTATATGTGAATATGAGGGTGTCAAGAGGCAAGGACAACCGAGAAAGTTCAAATGCGGTAGAAACTCAGCTTATGGCAATACCCTACAATATTTTCAATCTGTAACTCTGTTTATATGATCCAGATTGAAGATAATGTTGTATTTTTGTCCATCAATCCAAACTGTATTTATGAAAGAAAAAAACGCACTTGAGAATCTAAAATAGATGTTCACATCTGTGACAGTAGGATCCTATCCAAGATTGACTAGGTGTTCATCAATACTGATTGGCTCAATTCTATGCCAGTATTTACGGCACAATATCTAGAAAAGGGGATCAATGACCATTGTCCACTGAAGTTATTAACTGCAAATACACCTAGGAGGGCAAAAGCTGCTTTCAAATACTGCAATGTATGGGCCACTCACCCCAACTTTCTTGTTGTAGTTAAGGAGGGATGGGAACAGGAAATAATAGGGTGTAATAGGGTGCAGTATGTTCAGAGTTGTCAAGAAATTAAAGTTGCTAAAGCAAAAGCTAAAAGTGTTAAATAGAAGGTATTTCAACAATATTGTTGCAACAGCTGATGCAGATAGGTTGGCTCTGGCTAAAGCTCAAGCAGAACTTCATAGAAATCCACAAGATGCTCGGCAGCAGGCAGAAGAATTGCAGCAGTTTCAAAAGTTCAAAAGGTCATCTTATCTAAGCCGAAGTATTCCTACAACAGAGGAGCAAAGTTACATGGCTTAAGCTGGGAGATGATAATAATAGATACTTCTTTTCAGTGATTAAACACAGGAGACTACAAGAAGCTATAATCCAGCTAGCAGACAAATTCGGAAAATGAAATCAGATCAAGAAGAAATTGCAGAGATATTTGTGGACTATTACCAAGAGTTTCTAGGAAAAGGGTAGGAACAGGAACATGCTTTTCAAAGCTTTATGAAGAATGGGAAGACACTGTCAACTACTCAACAAATGCAGTTGTTAAGGCCATATACAGTTGCAGAGGTAAAGTCTGCTATGTTCAGTATTGATGAAACAAAGAGTCCTGGACCAGATGGCTACGGGAGTGGTTTTTATAAAGCATCATGGTCAATTATTGGTGAGGAGGTGACCATTGCAGTTCTGGAATTTCTTGAGAATGGGCAACTACTTACTCAGATTAACTCAACTATCATAGCTCTTATAGCAAAAATGGAGAATCTCTTGCAGGCTAGCCAATTCAGGCCTATCTCATGTTGCAATGTTCTCTGCAAGTGTATTTCTAAGATCATTTGTAAGAGATTAAGGAAAGCCATTCCACTGATTGTAGCAGACAACCAAGCAGCTTTCATAGAAGGAAGATCTCTAATTCGTAATGTGCTCATATGTCATGACATATTGAGGCATTACAATAGGAAGACTACTCCAAGGTGTTTGATGAAGATTGACCTAAAGAAAGCCTATGACATGGTTAGATGGGAATTTCTGAAGGAAGTGCTTAAAGGCTATGGATTTCCTATGCCATTTATACAATTGATCATGGTATTTGTTACAACAACTACATTTACAGTAAAAGTGAATGGTGGTGGATTTGGCTATTTTGAGGGGAAGAGAGGGCTTAGACAGGGAGATCCCATGTCTCCATTACTGTTTGTTCTAGTCATGGAGTATCTAACTAGATGGTTGAATAAAATGAGTGAGCTCCCAGACTTCCAGTTTCATCCTATGTGCAAAAGTACTAAGCTTACTCACCTCATTTTTGCAGATGACCTGATGTTGTTTTGCAAAGGCAATATCCAGTCCATTCACAGAATGATTGAAGTAGTGAGTCACTTTAGTGAAGCTTCAGGATTGGTGGATAATATGGAAAAATCTAATATTTTCCTAGCAGGAATGGATGAGGAATTAAAGCAGACAATCCTGAGTAACACAGGCTTCTCAGTGGGCACTTTACCTATGAGGTATCTGGGGTTACCTTTAACATCAAAGAAGTGGATCAAAGTTGAATGCCATCAACTAGTGGAGAAGATTACAAAGAAAATTAATTCTGGCTATGCAAAAATAGTCATCCTATGCTGGTAGGCTGCAAGTGATTAATGCGGTTCTCTTTGCAGTGTACAATTTTGGGGAGTTGTCTTTATACTTCCACAAAGTGTCGTTAAGGAAGTAGATAGAAAATGCAGGGAATATCTATGATGCAGCACTGAAGGGCATAGGAAAATGGCACCGGTAGCATGGGATTTACTATGCAGACCAAAGAAGTGCGGAGGGCTAAACATCAAGGGATGTAAACCATGGAATGTGGCATCTGTGGGAAAACTATTATGGCAACTAGTGACTAATAAGGAAGTGTTGTGGGTGAGGTGGGTGCATGGTGTGTATATGAAGATATGTAGGAGCATTTGGGATCACAATCCACCTGCAGACTGTAGCTGGTATTGGAAGAAAATCAATGGATTAAAACGTAACATGGCTCACTGGTACAATGGGAGTACATACACCTTGACTGGAAATGGTGCTTATTCTGTTTCAAGCAGTTACAATGCAATGCTAGGCCATATGTCAAGAAGCTGGGAAATGAATTTGGTATGGAGTGGAGTTATGTTACCCAGGCACATATTTGTGTTGTGGTTAGCAAATCAACAAAAATTGCAAACTAAGGAGAGACTTCTGCAGATGCATATTCCTATCACAGAAGATGTTGGATGTTGCATGTGTGCCCTGGAAGTATTAGAGTCTCAACAGCATCTGTTTGGTGAATGTTGTTGGGTGAAAACTATGAGAGGAGCACTGACAAGGTGGTCAGATATCAATATACCAGACATGGCACTACCCGAGACATTGAAGTGGATTAGGAGGCATTGGAAGCAATTTAGAAAGGAAGTGGCATCAACAATGATAGGTGCAATAGTATACCATACTTGGCAAGCTAGGAACTGGAAAATTTTCAGACAAATCAACTTGAGCATGGACTTCTATATTGGTCAAATCAAGAAAGAGCTCACAGAAAGACCGAGAATGCATGCAGAGTCCAGAAGAGCAAGGCAGTGTCCACTGTTGATACAAAGATTGTGTAGTTAGTTTGTAGTGCAGATCTTTTTTTGTAGTTGCTCGAATTCATGTATTTAGTCAGATATATTTGAGCTCGTGATGTACTGGGATGAGCTTAGTACACTCGATGCTCTTAGGATGTAAGCTTTTGGTTGTTATGGTAATATTCACAGATTATTACCCAAAAAAAAATGATAGCATTTCCAAAAGTCTTGGGAAATGATTTGGGGAATGAGTAGTTAATGATAATGGTAAAACAGGGAAAAAATTATTGTTGAATTGTCAGATTAATTATCAGGGAACAATTCAGGACTATGCTCTTGTGCGTTACAGGGAATATAGCCATAAGTTTCAATGAAGAAGCTATTATTGTTGCTACTTTCTACATTGTCAGTGTAACGATTCTCACTTCAAGTAGTCATCTACCATTACTCATCTTTTTCAACTTTTTGAGCAAATGACAAATGAAGAGAAAGACTGGTATAGAAAAAACTTTAACATTATCAGTACTTTAACCATAAAAACTGCCAACAACATTATTGAAGATCAGAAAATAGGAGTGTGCTGATGCTACAGCCTGTAAGGCTGTGAATATGGAAAATTCAGCTGCAGGTGTAGCAGGGGCAGGACATAGTGGTGTAGGTGCACATTCGAAGTCTAATACTGCATTTAAATCAACTGTTGATCATGTTGTTGCACTGGTTGAACCACTTGAGAAATCAACAGCAGCAGGTACAACTCCTGTAGATGTATCTACTGCTGTTTTAGTTCCAGCTGAAATTGTTTCAACAGCTGAAAAAGATACAAAGGAAGCTGGGCAGCAAATTAGTAAGAATAACTGGACAACGGTTTCCAGCAAAAAAGGCACTCCAAATAGAAAAAAAATGATGCAGGTTGAGCAGCGGCAAAATGCTATAAATAGCAGTGTAGCAGAAGTGTCAAAGGGCGAGCTTGTACCAAGGTCCAGCACTCCTACGATTCTTTTTTCCAGTTCACAAGTGGAAAACATTATCAAACAGGCCCAGGCAGAAATGGTAATGAACACCACCTTGGTTAAACAACCAATGGTGACTTTGAACACATCCGTGTTTGATGTCCCTTCTCAGTCAGTAGAGTCTTTTGGGGAGTTCAAAGGTGAATCTGGGCAGCTTGTCCTGTCAACTGGGAACAACAATGAGGTTATCCAACAAAAGGTAAAGGAAATGGCTATCAATTCTAAGTTGTGGCGTGAACAACGAGAGGAGGATGATGAAGAGGATTGGGGTGATGGGTTTGCTGGCTATTCATCTGAAGAAGGTGAGCAGGAGAGTGCAGGTGAGGAGATCGATCCTCCAGTAAAGCCAAAGCCTCATGAGGCAACAACATCAAGTCCCACGACCAAATTGAACATTCATGCTCCTATTTTCATCCCCAGAAACTCTCCTACTGCTGCTATGCCAGATGCAGCAGCTGGAAGGTTGGTTAGCGCAGCGGAAACATGTGCCAAGCAGGCCACTCCAGGTGTTAATACAAGTCAAATTGTGATTACACCAACACTTAAAATGCAGCAGCAACAAAATGATCTGCAAGCCTCAACTAGTATGCATACTGGTGATCGCACAGCAGCAACAAAACCAAATTCTGGGCAGCAGCAACTCACAACAACTACTCCAATTATTTCGGTTGAGGAGAGACAACTACTTGATGCAATTGTAAGTACTGCTCCTCTACTTTCTTTAAGTCAAACAGTCTCTTGCACTGGTCGTGGGAATGTGAGCAGGAACAAATCACAAAAACAACAACAAAGTACGGCAAATATGGTTCCTGCACAAGCTGGAAATACATTGATGACTCAAGGTGTTTCTCAACACATGCCAAATCCAATTTTGGTAGGTAGAGATATATATGAAGAAGGAGAGGAAGATGATATCTTAAATCAATGCCGGGAAGAGGCATCAAGAAAAGGTGACCTATCACCTATGCATAGTGGAAAAATAAAAAAAGCACATACAAGGAAAAATAGTTGGGACGACAAGGTCAGTGATTTTTTAAATGTTAGGCGACCTCCAATGAGAGTTGCCAAACAAAAGAAGGATGCCCCAACTACCTCAACGAGGTCCAACCGTTCAAAAAAGAAATGATGATTTTTGAATACTTTTTGAACACGGTTGAGGAAAACAACAAAGAACTGCAAATTGCAGATTTTACATGTTTGGAAAAGAAGGGACATGAACCAAATTGGTACTTCATTCTATTATACCACTTTATTAGTATTCTCATTTGTAATATCATCACAGAGTATGTTATAAACTCTGTGATGATCATTGAATATTTGGTACTCTCCAGTTCTTATTTTTTACATGCGTGCTAGTAGGTGAGGCCTTTTCATTGCCTCAATAGGATTAGTAAGGTAAGGTTTAGCCCGGTTTGAGTTGCCTTGGTCCTATGCCTTTGGAAAAATATCCACACGGCTATGAGATTATATGCCCTCGTGAGACATTGCCGGCAGCTACACCATGAATCCTCTACATGAGGCTGTCATCATAACGCAATGTGAGGCGCAGAGGAGTGATTATATAGCCAAGGCATATAGGTAACAATACCGGTGCTATTGTCCCCCTTATTTGTACTGTTCCTAATTATTGTACTTTTATTTTCATTTATTAATAAAAAACTAGCCCTAGGCGCTTGCCTAGCGGATTGCCAAAAAAAAAAGATCAGAAAATACTTATTGCTGCAACAAACATGAAGAACAAACTTAGAATCCATAGAGAAAAAACCATCCCATAACATAAGCAACCTTTAAGCATAGGCTTCAGGATTTTGAAGGAGATAGGCTTCTACAACTTTGAACATAGCCGAGACCTTCTCCTTGCCTGCCTTGATCTCCTCTTCATTGAGCTTGAAATCTCCCACAGTATAGTATGTGCTAGTCACCTTAGATATGGAACCACCATCTGTTGACTGCTCAAACTTCACATCATAACTTATTTTCTCAAGGTTGTCCACCAATCCATCACCTCCAACCAATGTGTATTTATACGTGTATGTCTCCTCGTTAAGCTCATCAACACGATACTTTATGGACTTAAACTTGCCACCTATACGCACAAAAAAAAGTAAAAAATAAGAGCAGAGTTGTCATTTTCTTCAGGGATGTTATTCAACTAAGCAAGCACAAAAATAAAAGAATAATTTGATGATTGTACCTTCAGGAAAATTGATGGTCTTAATACTTCCAGCACCTCCATCGCCTTGAACTTCAATGCTGCTAATAGCTTGTGGCATCAACTTAGGGATCAAGTAATGAGAATCAATTATGGAGGCCTTGAATATTCTTTTGGGGGGAAGTGGAGAAGTGTGTTCCTCAGTGAAGGTGGTGACAGCCATGTTTTGGTTCTTACAAGAAAATAAATGAGTAGGATTTCGTGTAGGGGGGAGACTAGAGAGCTTCTTGTTTGATGCAAAAAAGAATGGGATATATCAGAGTTTATATAGGTAAGTCCTGGAATTATATAATCTTGTAGTCATTTTCATGGCAGGCCAAATATGTGCTTTTGCTTGTCTACATTGGTTTCTAGAGTTTGTATAATTGCTATAGCTGAAGGATCTGTTTGTCCTCTGATTATATGCTCTTGGTTGGATTTACTTGTTCAAAATGAATTTAGATCTTCATTTGATTTCTTAATTTTGTATGCATGAACTAGGAATTGGTCCATCCAATTTTTAAGGATTTTTGTTTTTGGCTTGTCTTTTTTTTTTTTTTTTTTTTTTTTTTTTTTTTTTAAAACCCCTCCCAAATTAGGAGGATATATAGTGTTTCCACACTTCCCCTCCATGGTGACTCGAACCCAAGACCTAACGGTCGTAGGTGGAGGTGCTTTTACCAACTGAGCAAGCCTCACTTGTCTTTTGGCTTGTCTTCAAGGTTTCTCTCTCTCTCTCTTTTTTTTTTTCACTTTTCATAGGGTACGCCTAGAAAGGGAGCCTTGGCGTAACTAGTAAAGTGTAACCAGGAGGTCACGGGTTCAAGCTGTGGAAACAACCTCTTGTAAAAATGCAGGGTAAAACTACATACAATAGACCCTTGTGGTCCGGCCCTTCCCCGGACCCCGCGCATAGCGGGAGTTTAGTGCACCGGACGGCCCTTTTTATAGGATACGCCTAATCCCACTACACTTTTATCTAGTGAAAACAGAAAAGTGATTGTATTTTCTTGTACTACCGAGATCCTTGCTAGATCAGGATTTGGTGATTGAGAGGATAAAGGAATCAATTCATAGTTGTTTCTTTCTGGTAGAATAATCATCCATTTCGTATGTGAATATGATTTGTGTCGAGAGACAAGGACAACCAAGAAAGTTCAAATGCGGTAGAAACTCAGCTTGTGGCAATACCATACAATATCACATCTGTATAGCGTTAAAATACATCTGGATTCAAGTTAAACATCCAAGATTGTTCAAGAAACAACGACTTTTATATCAACCATGAATTTTACATTTTACATTGAGAAACCTATTAGTGACTATCATCAAGCTAGAAGGAAATGCGGATACACGTTGCAGAGTGCAAATAAGAACAAGAACTAAATTTCTCCACGGTAACCTCCAGACCCGAAGTAGTCTCTCCTTGAATTGGCAATCTGCACGCTCTTTTGGTGCTCTAGCTTGGGGCAGCCACGGATACGATGATCAAGTCCACCACAATATGCACAGCCCTTTACTCCACTGGCATTTGTGATTGCCTCAACATCGTCCATGGGATCATTGAGCTCCGCAAGGACAGGAGGGATCCTTTGTTTTGCTTCTTGTAACAAGTGTTTTAGATCAAGAAGTGTCACCTCGCTCTGATTCTTGTTGATAAAGGTTGTCGCAATTCCTGTTTTTCCACATCTTCCCGTTCGTCCAATCCCATGCACGTAGTTTTCAATTTCGGCAGGCATATCGTAGTTAATTACATGCTGAATATCAGGAAAATCTAACCCTTTAGAAGCAACATCAGTTGCAACCAGAACATCTTTCTTGCCGGATTTAAATGATGCAATTGCATATTCTCTCTCTTCTTGATCTTTGCCTCCATGAATAGCCACAGCTTCAACTCCTTTTAAGAGAAGATACTCATGGATATCATCCACATCAGCCTTATTCTCACAGAAAACCAGAACCGGAGGCGGAGTTTTTTGCAAGCACTCAAGAAGGTAAACAATCTTGGCTTCCTGCTTTACATACTCCACTTCCTGAATCACATCAAGGTTGGCCGCTCCATCCCTCCCCACATTCACTGTTATTGGTTTAACTAATGCACTTCTAGCAAAATTCTGAATCTTCGTGGGCATTGTAGCAGAAAATAGCAGAGTTTGTCTTTGAGCTTTGAAATGATCAAACACCTCCCTAATATCATCTTCAAAACCAAGATCAATCAATCTGTCTGCTTCATCCAGTGTCAAGTATCTGCAAAGAACCAACACTACGGTAGGCACCACAAACTTCACAGACATACATTGTAAGAAAGTAAAGAGAAAAAAGCAGCTCAACAATCAACAAACGGGATTAATTGAGCTATATACAGAAATATATATTCTTTGAGCGCATATAATTAGCATTTAGCAGTCAGTCAGTAATCCCCACTGTTTAAAATTGACTTTTGCTGAAAAAGGAGGTATTCATGTTGTGAGCAAAATACAGTTTTTCATCTGTATGTGTGTGAACTCTCAAAAGCACGGGGTAGACATGGGACAGCACCACATATTATGTGGAATAGCAAACAACCAGGAAAGAAGCAACACGTGAAAGCTGATGATGAGCGCAGGCAACCCCCAAATACTTGATTGATCAGATGTTAGGTATGAGTAAATGAGTCGTTGTATGCAATAAAAACTCTCTATACCATACAAGCTAGGGGAAAACGTTTTGATTTCTCTTCATCTGTTCATCTAGTATTTATATTTGAGATCAACGAGATCCCAGCCAGATGAACAAACAAGGATGACTACCAGAAAAAATACTACCTCAATAACCGATCTGCAAGATTAGGTATACCGGCAATTGCCAAGGTTCATTTTCTTCTTTGCTAACATATCTTTGAGTCTTCCAGGTGTAGCAACCACAATGTGAACTCCCTTCTTTACAACATCAATTTGGGACTTCATATCAACTCCACCAATACACAGCAAAGGCCTCAATTCAGGGTAACCATACTCCCTCAGTGGTTCTAAAAATTGCTCGATAACTTCATATGTCTGTCTAGCCAGCTCTCTAGACGGACAGATAATCAAGCCGAATGGTCCTTCCTGGGGAGCAATAGGCATCATAACTTCTTCCTGCAAAGCCACCATAATAAGTGGCAAGACAAAAACCAATGTTTTACCAGAGCCTGTAAAAGCTATACCTATCATATCGCGACCTGATAAAATAACAGGCAGGCCCTGCACTCGGATTGGTGTCGGCTGAACAATCCCCCTCGCTTTAAGTTTCTTCAAAATGGGCTCAGGGAACCTCATGTCCTTGAAATTTTTCATTGGTGGAGGAACATCTTCGCCATCCACAATAATATGCCACTGCTTTCAGATCGCATCACATGCTTTCTTTAACATCCGTCTGATGGCTAATGGCGGCTTCCAACCGGTGAACAAAGGCTCCGTATAAGTAATACCTTTAGCTAGTTCCCGAACGGACATTAACATCCTCCGATCAGATAAATGCTCAAGCATCTCCTTCTCTTGCAGGACGACTTGTTCGGTTGGACTAATCTCAGGTTGCTCTTTCTTCAGCTGAGTGGCCTTCACAAGCAAACTCGGCTTAGCCTCAACAAGCTTCAATTTTTCCGCTTCCTCTTCCAAAACCGAAGATTTTCCCTTGCGCTGAAGGATCTTTTGCGCCTCAATTGCTCGACGCTTTGCAACCGGTACATATTCAACATAATCATCCTCATCCTCCATCTCCTGCAACAACAGCAAGGATGTGTTAACACATCTGAAGTAGCACTTGAATCTTATTTAACATTCTAACACGGTAATCATGAGTGACATTGTGAAAAAATGAAGGACCCAAGCACAGTTTATAAAGCTATCATTAACAGCAAAGCAAAACCAACTACAGCGAATCATAAGTCATAACCAAAAGTGAAAGTTGAATCAATAGTACAATCTGCTAAAACCCAATAAAACGTTTCGGAGAGTCGAATCAATTGCACTAAAATTTCCAATTTTAAATTATCACAGAATGGTGAAAGGGAAAATTTGAACCGAAAGAGAAAGGAGGAAGGTGCATACAATATTTACGTGGTCTGCCATATGAGCTGTACCCTATGAAGATGAATTGCAGGGAAACTGATTTTTTGTAATACGCCTAGAAGAGTCCAGAGAGCTAATTCCCCGCGACTACAATTGGGTTGGGTTTTTAAATCTCATGGGTCGGATTTTGGATATGGGTATTTACGGAAAAATAAAAAAGAGCCAGATTTATAACTGATAATTTAAAAATAGCTACCGTTTTAAAAGTAATCTTAATTTAGTCATATTTTCACGTAAAGATAAAATCTGAACAAACACACTCTCAAAAATCCGAAAAAAGCATAATTTATTGTAGTTCAAATTTTTTACATTTGAGATTCCAGCATAATGTGCTGGAATATTCAGCAAGTTCCAACATAATATGCTGGAAGTTTATACACAAGAACTCCATAATCCAGAATATTATGCTGAAACTTTTCTTGTTTCACCAAAATAATGACTATTTTTCAGTGACTTTGCAAACGCTGGTTATTTCTCAATTATCAATCCGAAAACTGGCTAGCCCTTGCTATTTTATAGTATTTATGGCTGATTTATGCAAATATCCCTTTTTAGGCTACTCTTTAGATTTTGTCCTCATTTTAAAAAGTTGTGCTAATATAGCCTTTATTGGAAAACATTAGACTCGTAGTTTCAATTTTCTCACAAAATATTGTACTATGATTTAACACTTGCAATAACTTACATAAGTTTAGATCGTGGTCTAACGTTTACGCATAAGATTTTCAGTTTGCTCAAAAATAATCTTTAAATTGTGGTAGAGGTCTTATTGGTTGCAAGAAAAATAAAAAGAGAGTAATTTACTAAACAATTGATACAAAAAGGAATAACCGGTAGAAGTTTTACGTAATTTATTTTGGGTCATGGAGCTCTTTTACGTCAAAATATTACTCTTAAAATGGTTGTGATTTTCGGTGAAGTTGGTTGAAAAATGACAAGTATGATATTTTATTAAAAAAAAAAAAGAAGAAGAAGTAAAGTGATTTTTGTGGCTAGAGTTTTTTTTTTTTGTTGATAATTTTACCGTGATCATACTACTAAGTTAAATAATCACCTATAAAATTGACCCTTCGGTAATGGGGACGTGAGCGCTATGTGGACCACGATTGTGCAGTGCACTAGGGAAGCCGCAAGAGAGGTATTAGGGGCTCAAAAGATTAGTTTAGGGAGACTGGTGGTGGAATGGAAAGGTGCAAGAAAAAGTGAAAATCAAGAAAGCGGCGTATCTGAAGCTAGTGGAAAGTGTAGACAAGGAGGAGAAGAGGGCGAATAAGGAGCAGTATAAGTTGACTAAGAAAGAGGCGAAATTAGCAGTTACGACATCCAAGACTGTAGCTTTTAGTCGTTTGTATGAGGAACTCGAGGGCCGAGGTGGGGATAAGAGGTTGTTCAGGTTAGCCAAGGGGAGAGAAAGGAAGGCTCGTGACTTGGATCAAGTGAAGTGCATCAAGGACGAAGAAGGTAGAGTTTTGTTGGATGAAGGGCTTATCCGTTAGAGATGACATACCTACTTCCATAGTCTCTTAAACGGGGAGGGGGACAGGAATATTGTACTGGGTGATATGGAACTCTCCGGGAGTCATTGTGACTTCGGGTATTGTAGGGGGATTAGAGTTTATGAGGTTGAGGTGGCTATGCGTAAGATGAGCAGGGGCAAAGCGACAGGGCCGGACGAAATTTCGGTAGAGTTTTGGAAGAGTGCGGGAAATGCGAGCTTGGAGCGGCTCACTAGGTTATTTAATGCCATTTTTAGAACGAAGAAGATACCCATAGAGTGAAGATGGAGCACTATGGTTCTTGTATACAAGAACAAGGGTGATATCCAAAATTGCAATAACTATTGAGGTATCAACCTGCTTAGCCATACTATGAAAGTCTAGAGAGAGTGATAGACTTAAGAGTGATGAGGAGTATGTCTATTTCCGAGAACTAGTTCGGGTTTATGCCGGGGCGTTCGACTACATAAGCCATCCACCTTATTAGGAGATTGATGGAGCAGTATAGGGAGAGGAAGGACTTGCATATGGTGTTCATCAACTTAGAAAATGCGTATGATAAAGTACCGAGGGAGGTTTTGTGGAGATGCTTAGAGGCTAGAGGTGTGCTTGTTACCTACGTTATGGTGATTAAGGACATGTATGATGGAGCAAAGACCCGAGTGAGGACGGTGGGTGGGGACTCGGACCATATTTCGGTCATGATGGTGTTGCATCAAGGGTCGACAGTCAGCCCTTTTTTGTTTGCTTTGGCAGTGAACATACTGACGCGCCACATCTAAGGGGAGGTACCGTGATGCATGCTATTTGCAGATGATATTGTATTGATTGACGAGACGCGAGGCGGTGTGAACGTGAAGTTAGAGGTATGGAGGCAGACCCTGGAGTCTATAGGTTTCAAGTTGAACAGGACCAAGACAGAATACTTGGAGTGTAAGTTTAGTGGTGAGACTCGGGGAGGGGAAAGAGAGGTAAGGCTAGACTCGTAGGTCATCCCTAGGAGAGGAAATTTTAAGTACCTTGGGTCTATTATTCAGGGGGGTAGGGAGATTGATGAAGATGTCACACATCGTATTAGGACAGGATGGATGAAATGGAGACTCGCATCCGGTGTTTTGTGTGCCACCGAAACTTAAAGGTAAGTTCTATAGAGTGGTGGTCAGACCGACTATGTTGTACGGAGTTGACTGTTGGTCACTCAAGATCGCTCATGTCCATAAGATGAAGGTAGCAAAGATGAGGATGTTGAGATCGATGTGCGGGCACACCAGGTTAGATAGGATTAGGAATGAGGTTATTTGCAATAAGGTACGTGTGGCCCCTATTGAGGACAAGATGCGGGAAGCGCAGGTTAGGTAGTTTGGTCATGTGAGGAGGAGGAGCACAGACGCCCCGGTGAGGAGGTGTGAGAGGTTGACATTGGAGGGCCTACGGAGAGATAGAGGTAGGCCGAAGAAGAAGTGGGAGAGGTAATTAGGCAAGACATGGCGCAATTTGAGGACATGACCCTTGATAGTCTTGAGTGTTCATAGCAATAGTGTGGAGGTCGAGGATTAGGGTAGTAGGGTAGGTAGTCTTGAGTGTTCATAGCAATAGTTTTGGTACGCAGTCTCGCTTTCTGTTGGTAGTAAGTTTTTATGACTAACCGTTGTTTTCTTTCACTGTCGATCACCTTACTATCTTGTTTTTTTATTTTGCTTTTATATGGCTTTTTGGTGTTGTTC